ATACCTTGTTCACTGTGTCACTTGTCTATCTGTTTCGAGTGCCATGGTTTCTTGTCGTTATTGGAAATGCGAGAGTTCAAGTACTTCTCTTGAAACGCATAACCTTGAAAAATGATATTTTACCTGTCAACAATACGTACCCTATCCGCACAATTTGTAAGCAAGTTGCCATACATAGTTCAAGCTTAAAAAGGCATCATAAATTGGTGTCCAAAAACAAAGTAAACGTGCTTGGAAAGTCTGACTTTTGTACCTGAACAATATTCTTAAAGGCGATAATATGATGATGAGGTTAAAGCAACATGTTTCGTTGTTAACAATCACTTTACAGAATGTGAAAATTGTTCCTGAGACCGGAGATATGGTGAATTCTTCGATGACGCCTTCGAAAAAGTGATCATAAATTGGTCATTTACGTTACTGCAATACTTGTAAAAGTAACGTTAGTATTAATAATAGTACTCGGAGTATTATTGAACCTGCTAACATGATATTGAACCTACCACATTTTATAGAGGTAAAATCTACACCTTGTCGAGCAATGATAGCGTAGTGAGCTTAAGCCGCGTACTAGTACTGTCGTTACTTCTTCCCATCTTGCCATGTAACGTTAGAACTTCTTGGGGCTTCCCCAATGATGTGACGGTGGCGTTTGCCGTCACTGTATTTTAGTGTTTTGCATCCCCAACGGTGACACAGGCAAATAAACCGCATAACAGGCTCGTCCGGTTATGGTGACTCGGCTGGTGGAAGCGACGACAACGACATAGACAACGAATTGGGCCCTACGCTCATGTAATCCCAACGTATAACGTTATAGTGATACTGACTAGAGTTCATGTTGATGAGGACGAAACTGTGATTTCAAGCTGCATGGAGGGTCAATTTGCCTACTTATTGACCTCCAAATGCTCACGAGCAGTTGTCGAGTCAACCCGGGTAGTCAAAGGAGGCAACTCCGATCTCAATTGAGCTGCATTTGGTCGAACCAACCGTGCTTCTGAGAGGATCTAACTATAGAGTTGGGGTTGCCAAAACTGCATATTTGACCTCAAAAACGGTAAAATAGCGTTTACTGTCGCACCATTGGGGATGCCCTTAGACTTCCAACCGCCGCTATGTTGGCGACTGCAATTGCTTGGTGCTTGGCTCGGACATGCTCACTTTGAGTACACAACGTTATGAAAACAATACTTGGTTTCCACATGAAGTTATTAGCATTGATCAAACAGTGTTGACATTCTTACGGCACGGCTCTCGGAGGTCTTTTTCGTAGTCTTCATTAGACCTCTAACCCAGAGATGTAATGACTGAGTGGCTAAGAATGGGCTGATGACCCAGTGATAATGTTTTTAAGGTTATGAATCGTCGCTCAAGCAGGAAATATCCGACGAGGAGACGAGATCCCCAACGAAGTGATCGAGTCATTTCCAAACTCTACCCAGTGTTCGCCCAAGGTATTTAGGTGTCAAATACCCAATTTATGTACTATGTAAGGTAATAGTTCACCTTTTGTTATTTTTTAGGGCAGCATTTATCCAACACCTTCTGTTAAAAACCCGGTATACACCCAGCGAGAGGGTAAATAAAACCACAATTAAGTACACATCCCAATTTCTATTTTTAGAATAATTGACTACCGAGCTCGGTGTCGGAGCCATCAGACCCCGCATGATCAGCAGCAAGAGATATACCCCCAGCCAAGCACATGGACAACCTGGCCTTCCGCTTTTTCTTGTGCTTTTGACTTGCCTTTCTCTTGTCCTTTATGAGCTTCGTACCAATGGCATTTAGTCGATTGATGTACTGGGTGTTCACATCGCCATCTTCATCCTTCAAGGGATGGAATCGGATGTGGACGTTGGTCAGCGCCACGCCTGTCTGGAAGATAACGTCATAGTTCTGCCGACTCCATCTGTACTTGTCCGTGCACACAGCCCACAATGTCTTCATTCGTCCGAAGAAGTTTTCCACCACGACCCGGTCGCTGGCGATGGCGTCATTGCGACGCTGCTCCTCGAATGTGAGGATACCGCCCTTTGGCTTCTTACTGGGAAGCACAGCCCGAACTTCATGCTGGATGCCTTGGTAACCCTTGTCCGCAAGCACAGCCCATGAAGTGTGTTCACGGTTTGGGTCCGCAAGAAGGGTCTCGTCCTGCTGCTTGGCGAGGCCTGCTTTGTGCACATCGACGTTCTCATCGAAGATGGTCTTGTCCGAGATACTTCCTTTGTAGTGCTCTGTGCAAAAGATGGCAAAGCCATTTGGGACGACCGAGATTTCGACTTTGTGACCGTAGAGCGAGTGCTTCCCACTGTAGTAATGCTTCTTCTCGGCGTACGAGCCACATGGAGTGTTTGTTTGTTGAAACGTGACGTCGGTGGCGTATCGAGCGAACGGGAAGTTCTTGAATTGATTCCCTGATGCGATCAGGTTCTTCATGGACCACTGCTCGGCAAGCTGAGCGACGTAGGACCGCATGAAGAAGGGGTGAA